TATGAAGAATTAGTGAACTGCATATACACAGTATATTTTGGGTGTTTCTGTAGTGTAGTGGTTATCACGCTCATCTGACAATTAGTAAATTTTATGCATTTAAGTGCATTTAAACTGCATAGTGCCACTTCTGTAGAAAGGGATTGACATCGGGTATTATTGTCAATACAGAAGTCCAGAATGAAGGCTGCAAAGTGGAGTGGACTTAGAAGGAGGGATTGCATAACAATGAAATAGGTTTATTTTTAAGAAGATTGAATTAGGGCAGAAGGAGTGGGCAGGGAGAAAAGTATAACAATGAATGACTGGAAACCCTAAGTCTGTAAACTTTCATTAAAATTAATTTTAAAAAAAGTACTTGAAACATCACATTAATATTGTTGAGAGATAGGAAGAAAGACTAGAAAATACAAGGGCTCTGCTGGTGTGATCTGTGTGGAGTTACCTGCTAACCTAAGGTGACACTTCTGTGGCTTTATAATCCATTAGTGATTCTGTAGGAAAAAGATGGGCCATCTCCTCCTCTGACACTTGGAGCTTCCAAAAACCCACTGGAGGGTCAACTGGGAGTCTTCTCCCACCTGAAGTAAATGAGATGATGATGATGAGTCTGTTTTCTACCTTCATGTCTATACTTTTTAATGCAGAAATAGTATTATATCTGTATATATTATAAAGATTCACAGGATTTTTAACAAGATACTTTAAGAAACTTTCTTTTTATAACCCAAATGTTTACTTTTCTGATTTACAGGTACAAAGAAAGTTCTACAGAGATACAGATTATCAGGAAATTGCCATGTGATTACATTTCATCTTGAGTTTCAGGTTCTGGAAATTCAGGTAAATTAAAGATGTTTATTGTAACAATGGTGATTCTTCTGTTGTGAAAGTAATACTTTCTATAGCGTAGTCCCCAGCTGTGGTATAAATGAGGAAGATTTCATGAGAGTGGTCTTCCTTGTAGAGCAGCCCTAGGAAGTGATGCTATTTTGGATTATATGGTATCCCCCTAAAATATGTGTTGAATGCTTTGTCCTTGTACTTATAGCTGTAATCCTGTTTGGAAAAAATATTTTTTTTTCTTTTTTATGGCAATTAACTTCAATTCCAATAGTTTGAATTCCAAATGAATATTCCTGAGTTTTAAAAAAGACAGATGACACACGTATAAGCAAATATACATCAAGAATTGTTGGTAACCACAAGTTGATGTACTGGGAATAAACCTAACTAGAGACACAGAAGACATTTATAAAGAAAAATACAAAATATAACTGCAAGAAACAATAAGAGAACTAAATAATTGGAAAAATGTTCCTACTTCATAGATTGTATTGCAGTTGAGTACCATCCAGTTGGAAATGACCCATAGCTGACCTTCCAGAGCATTTTTAGTGGCAGTTAATCACTCGGGAGGAGATTGCTCATCCTTCTCCCACGGAGCAGTTGGTGCATTCGAACCAAATGCCTTTTGGATTGCATGCAATTTCTTATCACGAGGCTACCCAAGTTCTAAAATGAAAATGACAATCCTTCTAAAAGCATTCTACATTTTCAGTGCAATTCCATTAAAGATACCAAATTAATGTTTGAAACAGAAAAGGCAATTATTGTTGTTTGTTATTAAGTGAACTATGACTCATTGCAATAGCTCTGAACCCTGCCCTATCCTGAGACAATTTCACTGTCGCTGACACACCTACCTCCATTATACCAGTTACTGTGTCAATCCATCTCATCCAGGGTCTTTCTCTCCTGTGCTGACCTTCTACCCTTCTAAGCATAATGTCGTTCTCTAAGAACTGGTCTCTCCTGGCAACATGTCTGAAGTATGTGAGGAGCTTTTAAAAATCTTTGCTTCAAATGAGCAACCTGGCTTCATCCTCTGAAGGACAGATCTGTTTGTTCTGTTGGCAGTCCATGGTATGTTCAGTACTGTTCTATAGCACCACAACTCAAAAATATCAGGTTTTCTCTTGTCAGCTTTGTCATTGCACAACTCTCTGATGCATAGCTAGTAATTGTGAAGCCCATGGCCTGTGTTAGACGCATCCTAGTCTCCAGACTGACATCTTTATTTTTCAGCACTCTGGAGAGGTTCCTGACAACACACTTTCCCAATGCAATTCGTCTTTTGATTTCCTGATTGCTGGTGCCAAGAGTGTTGATTGTGGAAACAAGCAAATTGAAATTGTTAACAGTCTCAATCCCTTCTCCATCTATCGTGCTGCTGCCAGTTGGTCCAGTGGGGAGAATCTTTGTTTTCTTGATCTTGATATGCAGTCCATATTGAAGACTTCAATCCTTCACCTTCTGCAACAAACACTTCAGATCCTCCTCAGTTTCAACAAGCAAGCAATGTTGTGTTATATGCATAACATAGGTTTTTGATGAGTCTTCCTTCAATCATTATGCTACATTTCTCCTTTATGCCTCATAAAGTCCAGCTTCCCAAATGATCTGTTTGACAGCATGCATGTTTATTTCGAAAGGAAAAAGACCTCAAATAAGCAAAACACTTCTGAAAAACAAAAATGACGTTGGAAGCATGACACTCTCAAATCCTACTACACAGCTGTAATAACCAGCGTGTTACTGGTATAATGACAGACATTTAGGTAAATGGAACAGAATTGAGAACCCAAAAATTAACACGTTTACCTTGAGTTGTGATACTTAAGGATGATGTGGGCAGAATATTGAAGAGACAGTACAGGAGAGGAAGACCCCAGATGAGATGGATTGATACAGTATTTGGAGTAATGAGGGTAGTTGTGTGAGAGACAGTGAGATTGGCCCAGGAAAGAGCAGGGTTCAGAGCTATTGTGCAAAAGATCACATGAGTCGTGGTTGACTAGATAACACCTAACAACAACTATACCTATGGTCAACAAGAAAATAAAATCAATCAAATTTGGAAAGGACAGTCTCTTCAACACATGTTGCTGGCGAAATTGGAGTACTACTTGCAGGGTCCATGTCTCACACTACACACAAAAATCAATTTAAGGTGAATCAGAGAGAGACCTAAGGGTAAAAACTAAAGCCATAAAGATCATAAGAGACAAAATGGGACCATTCTTAGAAAGCCTAGATTTATAGTATAAATGAGCTAGCAAATACAACCAAAAATACACAACCATGAGAGGATAACATGAACAAATGGGACCTCCTAAAGATTAAGTCCCTGTGTGCATCAAAAACATTTACCAATAGGGTTAAAAAAACAGCCTACTGACTGGGCAAAAACATTTGTCAGTGCCATCTCAGGCAAGGGTCTTGTAACAAAAGTTTCTAGGTCTTCAAAAGAGAAATACTGATAACTCAGTTACAGCTTTTCATAGCTGACCCTCCAGCTGGTTTTCAGAGGTTGTAAATAAACATGAAAGAGTGTCCATTTTTCTTCTGTGAAACAGCTGGTGAAATTGAACTATCTGCACTTTGGTTGGCAGCAACTGACCAGAGCTCTGTAATTGGATCATATATTCTGTAAATAGAGTTAGTTTTTTCTTCTTTGCCAGTCTGGATGCTTTAATTTCTTCTTCTTACCTTTTTGCTCTTGCTAGACCTTCCAGTGTGGTATTGAATAGGAGTGACAGGAAAGTGGGTCATTATCTGGTCCCTGTTTGCATAGAGAATGCTTTCAGTCTCTCCCCACATTGAATGATGTGCACTGTTGGCATTACATCTATGCTTTAATTGTGTATGGAATTTCATTTCTATTCCTATTTTCTTGAGAGTTTTTATCAGAAAGGGTGTTGAATTTTGTCTAGTGCTTTTTTGGTATTGATTGTTGTTAGTATGTAGTTCTTTTCCTTTGCTATCTTTATGTGGATGTACATGGCTTGGTTTTCTTTTGTTGAACCATTGTTCTTTCTTTTAATTAAATTTTATTAATTTTAATGAACATTTACAGAGATTTTGGGTTTCCATTCATTCATTGTTGCACTATTTTCTCCACCCTCCACCCCAGTTCATTCCTCTTCCCCCCCTTGAAAGTCTGTTTTAATTGTCCCATTCCCACAGTGCTTGTCAAAGTCAGTTCTGATTAATCTCCTTTGTCAATGTGTCCTTTGCCATTCCCTATCACTCCTCCCTGAAGGAGACTTCACCCTGATTCATAAGGAAAAGGGGACGGCATATTCTCTTAGCTACTTCCTGCTCAAAAGGGACGCTGTGGGTTTCAGGGTGAAGATCTTCTCTCACTACTCTAAAGGGCCCCTTTGGCAGTAGGAAACACATAGACTATTATGGAAATTGATTTTGGAATTTAGATGCACTGTTATCAATTGTGCTTAGCCGTACATGTTCATATCCTTGAAGATGCATCATGGAACTGTTGCAGCCTAGAAGACACAAATTTAACTAACAAGTTAAAAGTACATGAGTCAAAAATTGAAAAGCATTAATTAATACTCCAAGTAGAGGCTCTAATAGTGGCCCAAATCAAGTTACAGAGGGAAGGTAGTTCTTAAAATAAAAGGCCTATTGACTAGCACTTTGTCTATTATAGTATAAAGGTTAGGAACCACAAGATGTAGAGGTTCAACTATGTCATTTATTGTTCTTAAGTCCTGGAGCAAATTCCATCTACCACTGGATTGTTTTACAGCCCCGAAGTCCTCCTGCAAGGCAGCCGTGAAGTAAGGAACTGCTTATGAGGTTTTCCTGCAAGGCAGCCGTGAAGTAAGGAACTGCTTATGAGGTTTTCCGTTAATTCCAACAACTGAACCATTGTTTTTGCATTCCTGGTATAACTCCCACTTGAAAAAGATGTGTGATTAAAAAAAACAAATAGGGTGAGGGGGGAGGGGTTGGTGTGGGGAGAAGGGTGCAACAATGAATGAATGGAATTCCAAAATCTCTGTAGATGTTCATTGAAATGAAAAATAAACAAACTAAATTAATAAAAAAAAATAAAAGAAAATTCTAATGGCTAGAATTTAAATGATAATTTTTGTGTCTGTCTTCATGAAGGATATGCATCTATAATTTTTATTTATTTTTTTTAGTGTTATCTTTGCCTGAGTTTTTTATCAGGGTTATGCTTGCTTCTTCAGTATGGTTTGAGGCTCAATATCAAGAAAACAAAGATTCGCATCACAATGGATGGTGAAGAGATTGAGATCGTTCACAACTTTAATTTGCTTAGCTCCACAGTCAACACTCTTGGCACCAGAAGCCAGTAATTAAAAGACGTATTGCAATGGGAAAGTTGGCTGTTGGAGACCTCTCTAAAGTACTGAAATGTAACAATATCATTCTGGAGGCTAAGGTGCACCTGATATATGCCCTGGTCTTTGCAGTCACTTGCTATGCATCAGAGAGCTGGACAGTGACTAAGGATGATAGAAGGTGAATTGATGCCTTTGAGCTGTGGTGTTGGAGAAGAGAATTGAATATACCATAGACTGCTAAGAAAATGAACAGGTTTGTCTTGGAGATGGTGAAGCCGGGCTGCTCGTTGGAGGCAAGGATTATGAAGCTCCATCTGACTTCTTTTGGACATGTTTTAAGGAGGAACCAGTCCTTGGAGAGGGACGTCATGCTTGGGAGGGTGGAGGGACAGCACAGGAGAGGAAGACCCTCAATGAGATGGGTTGAGTCAGTGACTGGGATAAAGGGGGTAGGTGTGTCGGAGACCGTGAGATTGGCACAGGATAGGGCAGAGTTGAGGGTTATTGTATATGAGGTCGCTATGACTTGCAGATGACAGCACATAACAACAACAACAACATATTGAATTTAGGAGTATTCCCTCTATTTCTGTTTTCTGAAATAGTTTCTCTTCTGAATGTTTGAGAAAGTTAGCCAGTAAAGCTGTCTGGTGGGACTTTTTA